AGTTTCTGGAACCCAGCTATTCACAATATAGATGAAAGATTTCAATGAGGAAACCAAGTGCCTTATCTCCAAGCTGGGTGGGAGGGTGAGCTGTGAGGAGGGTGCAGAAACGCTTCAGTATAATTTGGACAAGCTAGCTGTGTAGGCCAATACCTGGCCAATGTAGTATAATGTGGATAAGTGTGAGGTTATCCACTTTAGAAGCAAAAACAGAAAGGTAGACTATTATCTGAATGGTGATACATTGGGAAAGAGGAACGTGCACTGAGACCTGGGTGTCCTTATACACCAGTTGCTGACAGTAAACATGTAGGTACAGCAGGTGGTTAAAATGGTATGTTGGCCTTCACAGCATGAGGTTTTGACACAGGAACAGGGATATCTTGCTACAACTGTATAGGGCATTGGTAAGATCACACCTGGAATATTGCATGCAGTTTTGATCTTCTTATCTGAGGAAGGATGTTCAGGTTATGGAGGGAGTGCAATGAAGGTTTACCAGACCGATTCCTCGGATGGCAGGATAATGTACGGGAACTAACTGGATCAGTTAGGACTGTATTCACTGGAGCTCAGAAGAATGAGGATGAGGATTCCAGAAACTTATAAAGCGCTAACAGGATTAACCAGGGTAGACGTAGGAAGGATTTTCACTATAACTGGGGAGGCCACAACAAGGAGGTCACAGTCTAAAGACAAGAGGTAGGCCTTTTAGGACTGAGATGAGGATAATTTTTTTCACCCAGGGAGTGGTAAACCTGTGGAATTCTCTGTCACAAAGTGTTTGAGGCCAAAACGTTGAACGCCTTCAAGGAGAAGATACATTTCTTAAGGCTAAAGCAATCGAAGCACATAGGGAGAAAACAGGAACATGGTAATGAGATGGATGATCAGCCTTTGGAAGATTGAACAGTGATGTGGAGGTGTCAGTATTGGACTGGGGTGGACAAGGTCAGAAATCACACAACGCCAGGTTATAGTCCAACAGGTTTATTTGAAAACACAAGCTTTCGGAGCCTTATTCCTTTTTTAGGTGTTAGTGAGAGAGGTAGTATCAGACAGAATTTATAAGTAAAAGATCAAAGGGTCACATCACTGATGAGGATGTACTAAACAAACCAAGATGCTGCTGAATCTTTAATCAGAAGGTTTTAATTGATTAATATGTTTATGTAAATCCCAGAATTGCTTTGAAGTCACTGTCCTGCGAGAACTAATGGTTTTATCAGGGTAAAGAGGAGGTGACGTTTTAGGTCAGGCAATGCATGTTATGTGTGAGGATGTTTGTTTAGAATCTGTCTATGTTTTGGTTTGGAGTCAGATTGGTTTTATTACTAAAGTAGGAATTTATAAAATGCCACATTGACTGACTGTCTATAAATTGTATGCTTTTTGAACATAATAGAATGTATCTGCAAATACAAATTCACCCCATAGATTCACGTGTGTGTGTGTATCCCCAAGGGACAAGCCCTACGCATGCACAGGATCTGTTTGGATAAGGAGGAATGAGATGGACACCTGAAAGTGTTGAAGGATACCCTCATAGGAACAGGATACGATGCTCAACTCATCAATCGCCAGTTCCGACATGCCACAATGAAAAACTGTAACGACCTCCTCAGAAGAGACACGGGACACGTCTGATAGGGTACCCTTCGTCATCCAGTACTTTCCAGGAGCGGAGAAACTACTCCAGGTTCTTTGCAACCTTCAACACATTATTGATGCCGATGAGCACCTCACCGAGATCTTCCCCATGCCTCCACTTCTTGCCTTCTAACAACCGCCAAACGTTAAACAGACCACTGTTTGCAGCAAACTACCCAGCCTTCAGGACAACATCAATCACAGCACCATACAACCCAGTCAGGGTAACCTCTGTAACACACTGTAGGGATCTTATGATCATGTCAGATCTTCGACATGGACACTACCCTCACACGTGTGAACAACCACAACGTGCACGGCAGATACTCATGTGACTCAGCCAACGTTGTTGATCTTATATGCTGCAGGCAAGGATGCCCCAGGGCATGGTATATTGGCGAAACCATGCAGACGCTATGACAACAGATGAATGGACACAAAGCAAAGAATTGCCACACAGGGCTGTTCCCTTCCAGTGGGGGAACGCTGCAGCAGTCAAGGATGTTTGGTCTCAGATCTTTGGGTAAACGTCCTCCAAGACGCGAGCAGAGGCTGGTAGCCAAGTTTGTATGATCTTAACTGGAATCTGGGGTTCATGTCACACTACAGGTGACCCCCACCACTCTATACACTCTCTCTCTCTCTCTCTCTCTCTCTCACACACACACTTACACAGAACCTCTCACATACACCCTGTCTCTCAAGTGCGTGCACATACACTTTCTCTCCCCTCTGCCACCACCACCCCCACACATACACACTCACAAAGAACCTCTCTCATACACTGATTCTCAAGCGCACACACACACACACACACACACTTTCCCTGCCCCACACACACGTACAAACACTCACACACTCTCTCATACTCACCTGACAACATCCCACTCACACACGCACACATACCCCACACACACACTCACCTTCCCCCCCTCTCACACCCACACTCACACTTTCCCCACCCCCACACTCTCTCACTCCTTCTCAACCTCCCACAACTCCCAACACTCTCACTCACACTCATTCCACTCCCCCACCTCCCCCTGACACACACACATGAAAATACGGGGTGAACTTGTATTTGCAGATAAATTCTATTTTGTTCAAAAAGCACACAATTTATAGACAATGTGGCATTTTATAAATTTCTACTTTAGAAATAAAACCAGTCTGACTCCAAACCAAAACACAAACAGATTCTAAACAAGGCCTCACACATAACATGCATTGTCTGACCTAAAATGTCATCTCTACTTTACAGTGATAAAAACTTCAGTTCTCTCAGGACAGTGACTTCAAAGGAATTCAGGGATTTACATATAAGTATTAATCAATTAAAATATCTTTGGTTTGTTTAGTAAATCCTCATCAGTGGTGCGACCCTTTGATCTTTTACTTATAAATTCGGAGTCTGATACTACCTCTCTCACTAACACCTGAAGGAAGCGTAAGACTCCAAAAGCTTGTGTTTTCAAACAAACTTGTGGGACTATGCAGTATGTAGCTGGAGGAACACAGTAGGCCAGGCAGCATCAGAGGAGCAGAGAAGTTGACATTTCAAGTCCCAGTGCTGCTTAGCCTGCTATGTTCCTCAGCTCCACTGTGTTGTCTCTGACTCCAGCATCTGCAGTTCTTGCTACCTCTGTTGGACTATAACCTGGTTTCGTGTAATTTCTGAGATTGAACAATGGAGTAGGTTCAAAGGCCCTATTCCAGCTCCTATACTCTATGCTTCTATGTAAGACTAAAGATGTTAAAGGGTCTAGGGAGACAGAGCATTGTATTAAGATAGGACCAGCCACAATCACGCTGAATGGCAGATGAGGCTCATCTATTGATGCATTTACACTGAGGTCATTGATTAACTCTGTCACATTATACAAAATCAAGTCTAATAGAACCTGTTCTTTGATTGGTTCCAAAAGGTGCTGCTTCAAAAAGACTATCTTGAAAACATTTTATGAAGTCATTGTCCAGGCTACTACTGCCATTCTGATTTTTCAAGTTTACATGCAGACTAAATTTAGATTATTTTGAGTATTCTGAAATATCTCCTTAAACCTATCCCATTGCCTCTCTTTTGACCTATTCCCAAGCCAGCTATGCCAATTCATTTCACATAGCTCAGACTGCTAGACTCTTCATGGATTCTTTCTTGTTGGTAATGGTATTGTTTGGGAAATCCAGAAGAGGAAAACTGGATTTTAGTTTCAGTGATGTGACGTTCTTTAAAGCATGTGACTATGTGTCTTGATTAACTACCTGGTGAGTTAATTGCTAATGGCTTACAAAGTTAAGTTTTAGGATACAGAAACGGATAATTAGGGGTCATTTGTAGGTTGAGTTCAGAAGAGAAGTCATTTTAGCAGAAAGGCAGTTTTCAGTTTGGCGAAGCCTCCAGCCTGTGGGAATCACCAGAAATCTTTAGGTTTTCAGGATTAGAAAGAACTGGCCAGGCCATGAGAGCTAGGAGGAGTCAGTTGAGCATGACTTTGAAAAGTTAAGAAGTGGAGGTGCTGGTGTCGGACTGGAATGGACAAGGTCAGAAATCACATGATACCAGGTTATAGTCCAACAGATTTATTTGAAAACACAAGCTTTCAGAGTCTTATTCCTTTTCAGGTGTGGACTGAGGCTCCGAAAGCTGGTGTTTTCAAATAAACCTGTTGGGACTATAACCTGGTGTTGTTTGATTTCTGAGCTTGAAAAGTTAAGACAGGAGCGATACCTTATTGGGATTGAGTGACTTTAAAGAATATTTTTCACAATAGGATTGAATTTTTTTGTTTATAAAAAGATCTTTCCAAATTGTCATATATTTCACGTACAGCTTTTCTTTGTGTCATAAGCTTGCACTCCTTATTAAAAGAACAAGCTCATGTGAATAAGCCGAGTGACTGACAACAATATCAAAACTTCAAAAATAAGACTCATGCTCTATTAAGCCTGGTTTCACTCTTGTTCAGTATTACCATCAGTTAGGATTATAATGATGGTCACTGCCTGTCATTCAAATGATGCAAATGCCACTTGAGGAATTGCAAATGTCACTCTGAGGAGGTGCAAACAGTGTGATCATTGTGCAATCTTCAGGGAATTTCCCACTTCAGACCTTCTGATTGAAGGAAAGTTAGTGATGAAACAGCTGAAGAATGTTGGGCCTAGGCCACTAGCTTGTGCAATTCCTACAGAGATGTTCTGGAGCTGAGATAACTGGTTTCCATGATTCTAACCAGTTTCTGCAATCAGGTTTCCCTGATTACCTCTGACTAAATTACTTGGAAGGGCTCCTTTTGCTGCACTCAGTCAAACAATGCCTTGATCTCAAAGGCTGGGAGGCAAAGCATCACCATGGGTACTATCGAAGTCCTTAATCCTCCCACCTGCCAACAAAAAGCAAGCTTGTAGTCATTCTGTGCAGGATAAACTGTCAGCATGCTACTGTGGATAGCATGAGTGTGGAATTCAATCCCGTACTCAGATGGTAGCCATGGCTCTGCAGTTTCCACTGGAAAGATGATTGGGATGGCCTAGGTATCTGCCCTCACCTTCATTATCAGACTCCTGGTCTTGGAGGGAATGATCCTCTTTAGGCAGGATATACTTCTGCTGAAAGTATGGAATCTCTTTCACCTGGAGAGAAGTACAAGATGAAACTGTTAGCATTACAGCTTCATTTTAAAATTGCAGATTAAGATACCAATTGCTTAAGAACAAACAGAAGAAGCAGCCTGGTAGTACAGAACTTGTATATTTATGGAAGGAAACAGGTGCTTTTGGAATATTTCCTAGTAACATTGTATATGATTTGCAATGTCAGTGGGCTGTATCCGCCAGTGATTTGTTAATGGAATCAAACAGCGCCTTCCTTTGGATGTTTGCAATTGGCAAAATATGGACCGTATACAACCAGCCTACATTTATAAAATCTTAAACTGCCAAAACTGAAATTAGACGAAGAAGTATCCCATGTCAGTTGCTTATCCGCTTGTGGGATTCAAAGCAAACTTCATTCCAGATGACAATAAGACAGCCTCAAGTTGTATTAAATGAATGGCTTGAGTAACAAGAAACCAAATTCGTCCAACAAACTATGCCAGGTACATTACCTCAGACACAGGACCCTCCTTTGAGTCCCCGAGATAGCTCCCCTATTCACAAACAATGACATAACTATATGGATCAGGTATACAGCCCCTAGCCTGAGATATTACGGGTAGCAATCTGACACAGGATTCATTCCCTCTGCTGGGCCTACCTGGAACAGCTCATTAATGTCGCTGGGCAACGCCAGGCCTATGTAGTCGTCTGTGCTGCCACAAGTGGCATTGGAGACCATGGAACGTACAGAGGAAGAACGCTGAAGTGTTGTATGATTTATTGGGCTTAATAAATCCTCTTTGTCCAGCGAGGCGAAGCTCAAGGCTTTGATGAATCTGAAGGAGAATGCGAGAGATGAACAGAAATAAGAGCAGTTTCTGCTGACCTGCATACACCAATGGTTCTCCTCTTCTCCATGGTGGTGGTGCTATTTCTGTGTTGTAAATATTGCACAGTCCTCCATTAAAAACAAAATGTCTTTCTGTACTAACATTAGTCGAGCAAATAAACATACTATTTTTTACAGCAAAACATTACCCGTGTTGTGCAACAATGCTTCTGGCAACATTCAGGTCTAACATCTCAACTTAAATCCCTTAGATGACTAATTTAACACACTCCAGCTGATCACCAACCTTCTACCCTCTGCAAACTTGAGGTCATCCAAACCTCTGCTGCCCATATCTTAACTCTCTTCAAGTCTCCTTCTCCTATCAGCCCTAGGGCTCATTGACCTACATTGTGCCAGTCAAGCAATGACTTGATTTTAAAATTCTCTTCCTTGTTTCATGGCCTTGATCTTCTCCCCGCATCTCCGTAATCTGCTCCAGCCCTACAGTGCTGAGATCTCTGTGCTCCTCAAATTCTGGTCTCTTGAGCACCCTGATTTTAAATGCCTGTGGTGGCCAAACCTTTAGTTGTTTCAGTTGCAAGGTCTAGAATTCTGTGCCTAAAACTCTCTGACTACCTCATTGTCAACCTTCAAGATATTCCTTAAAACTGACATCTTTGATCAGTTATTGGTCATCTGACCACAATGATTTATATATATTTTAATATAATTTATTTTGGATTTTGAACCAGTGTTTTCTGTGTGTTTAATTAACCTGCAAGTATTTCTGTAGCCTTGGTGAATTCTTTTCAAACACACTGGGAGAGTCAACAAGCGAGCAAAATAAACAGTGTAGTGCATTACATTTTCAGTTAGAAATTCTTTTTTTCGCTGATACACCCACAGCTTAGAAAAAAAGCTTTTAAGTTTCAGTTTGGGACAGTTTTGCAGAAGTTTTGGCTGAGCAAATGAAGCTGAGAAACAGAGATAGTTTAGCACTGTTAAGGAAGAGTCTAAGTTTAGTCTAAGAAGCTTAGTTTAGAAGATGCAGATTGTAAGTATTTGGTTAAAACCCCGAAACGGCTATTTAATATTGAGAAAATCGAAGCTCTGTTGTATTAAGGCTCCAGAAAGAGGCTGATTCTTAAGATGGGACATTGAAGCTACAGTTAAATTAAATCTTATACATGTGAATTAGAAGGGAATTCTCTTGATTCATGTAAGGAATGTTATTGGCATCAATTATATTGTTTTACCGTGCTTTAAAACTTTTAAACTTGTGTTATATGTAAATAGTATGGTTTATTTTATTCTGTCTACATTTCTTTTGGAATAGTCAGAAGTTGTGGTACACAGTAGCACCAATAACACAGGCAGGAAAAGTGATGAGGTCCTGCAAGGGGAGTTCAGGGAGCTAGCCAATAAGATGGAAAGCAGGACTTCCAGGGTTGTAATCTCTCAATTACTCCTCATGTCGCATGGTAGTGCAGCAAGGAATAGAAAGATAGTACAGTTTAAGTCATGGCTAAACAGCTGGTATAGGAGGGAACGGTTTTAGATTTTTGGATCATTGGGATCTCTTCCAAGGCAGGTGGGGCCTATATAAGAGGAATCGCTTGCATTTTTACTGGAGGGGCACCAGCATCCTGACAGGGAGGTTTGCTCGTCCAACATGTGTGGATTTAAACTAATAGGCTGGGTCGGAACCAAAGTAACAAATCAGCAAATGAGCAAAAAGTAGAGGTTAATAGGATAAACAGGCAGGCCCAGTCGAACAACCATGGTGAGGGACAGAATCATAACAGATCAAAATGTGAGTTGAAAGTGGAGAAAATGATAGAGGTGAGGCTCAGTGTTATCTGGAATTAATAAATAAAGATGGAGTATGGAGGAAAGCATAGTGCACAAGAAAATATTAAAAGAGAAAGCCAACAAGTGGAATTTAAAAATCTTTCATCTAAATGTACTCAGTATTCGGAATAAAGTTGATGAACTGACAGCGCAAATTGAGACAAAGGGATACAGCCTGGTGGGGATTACTGTAACGCGGTTACAGCAAGATCAGGAATGGGAATTAAATATCCAAGGGTACTCACTGTTCAGAAAGCATAGACAAGAAGGAGCAGGAGGTGGCATTGCTTTAATTGTTTAAGGACGGCATCAAGACTGTATTGAGAAATGATATTGACAATAGGGATCAAAATGTTGAATCAGTCTGGGTGGAAATAAAAAGCAAAGGAAGAAACCCCTTGGTAGGAGTAATTTATAGGCCCCCCCAAATAGTAATATAACTACGGAGAAGGTATTAAGTAAACCGATGGGATTAAAGGCAGATAAGTCCCTGGGGCCTGATGGCCTGCACCCTAGGGTATTAAAAGAGGTGGCAGCAGAGACAGTGGATGCATTAGTTATGAATTTCCAAAGATCCCCAGATTCTCAAAAAGTACCAGTGGATCGGAAACATGCTGATGTAACACCCTTATTCAAAAAAGAGACAGGCAAAAAGTGGGAAACTACAGACCAGTTCATTTGACCTCTGTAGTGGGGAGGTTGCTGGAGTCAATCATAAAGGAGGAGATAACTGAACACTTGGAAAAACAAAGCTCAATTAACCAGAGCCTGCATGGTTTCATAAGGGGAAGTTGTGCTTGACAAACTTGCTGGAGTTCTTTCAGGTTGTAACCAGCAAGATAGATAATGGGGAATCTAGTGAAAGTGGTATCTCTAGACTTCCAGAAGGCATCTGACAAGGTGCCATATGAAAGACTGTTCTAGAAAGTTAGATCCCAGGGGGTTTAAGGGTCGAGTACTGGCAAGAATAGAGGATTGGCTGACTGATAGAAAGCAGAGTCAAATAGTTCCTTCTCTGGATGGCAAACTGTAACTGGTGGGGTGCCACAGGGTTTAGTTCTCTGACCTTAACTATTTACAATCTAAATAAATGATCTGCAAGCAGGAACAGAATGTAACACAGCAAAATTCACAGATGATACTAAAATAGGAGGGAAACAGGAGATAAAGAGTTTACAGATGGGCATTGCACTGCTGCCTCACAGCACCAGGGAGCCAGGTTTGATTCTACCCTTGGGTGACTGTCTGTGTGAAATTTACACATTCTCCCTGTGTCTGTGTGGATTTCCTCCCACAGAGGTGGATAGGCCATGCTAAATTGCCCATATAGTGTCCAAGGATGCACAAGTTAGGTGGGATTAGTCATGAGAAATGCAGAGTTACACAGATGGGGCGGGGGTCTGGGTGGGATTCGGTGGTGTAGACTCAGTGGGGCGAATGGCCTGCTTCAACACTGTAGGGATTCTATGATATTGATAGGATAGGAAAATGGGCCAGAATTGGGCAGATGGAATTTAATGCAGATAAATATGAGGTTGTCCATTTTGGCCAAAAAAATAAAGGGGCAAATTGTTATTTAAATGGGAAGCAGATTCAAAGTGCATCAGTGCAGTGGGATCTGGGTGTCCTTATGCATGAACTGTAGAAAGTGGGTAAGCAGGTGTAGCATTTAATATGAAAGGCAAATGGAATCCAGGCATTTATTGCAAAAGGACTGGATTATAAAGAACTGTTGTTAACAATTATATAAGGCATTGGTAAGACCACCTCTGGAATAGTGCGTCCGGTTTTGGTATCCTTATTTGGGGAAGGATGTGGTGGCACTGGAGGCAGTTCATTGGAGGTTCACGAGGTTGATTCCAGGGATGAAAGCACAAGGAGCTGTTCAATAGCTTAGATTTGTACTCGCCGCAGTTCAGAAGCTTGAGGAGGGATCTGATTGAGGTATATAAAATGCTACCGGGGACTATTAAGGTGGATGTGGGACAATCTCAAACAAGAGGGGATAGATACAGAGTGAGAGGCGATAGGTTCAAAACTGAGGTGGGGAGAAACCATTTCTCTTAGATGGTTGTGAATCCGTGGAACTCACTATCAGAGTGCAGTGGAGACAGAATCAATCAGCAGAAAGAAACAGATATGTTTCTGATGAAAAGCTGGATAAAAAGGCTATGGGTAACAGGCAGGAAAGTGGAGTGCAGACCACAAATGGATCAGCCATGATCATGTTAAATAGTGGAACCAACTTGAAGGGTTGAATTGCCCACTCCCACTCCTAATTCCTGTGTAAACTTCTTTTTCATTGTTAAAGCTGAATCTGCAGAATGTCTGTGTTTGTGAAAGAACCACACCGTTAAAACCATAAAAATAATCTATCAAGATATATTTTAGTCTGTGATCTTACCCGCCCAGTATGTCAGCCGGGATCATAACATGACCAAATGTCTCCCTGTGAGTTTTGGTATTATGCAAATTGTTTCAAGATGTCTATGAAGTGCTTTGGGACGTTTAATTATATTAAAGGTACTATACAAGTTGCTGCTGTTACAACCTTTTCAGATGTCCCAGAATTTTCAATTAGGGCTAGGTGTGTCACAGAAAAATAATGTTATTACGTACCCCTCAGAGATCCTCTTTTCTGAACATATGGTACATGCAATATTTAACTAAAGAATAGATATATTTACCTTCTTGGCGTCAACCGTGAATCCAGGCTGCCAGTCTTCATGGTAATTGTGTCTGTAAACAGCACATCTTTTGCTGGAGATGCCAGAGCTTCAGAGTGCGACAGTGATGAATGCATCCTCTGCTGCTGTAGTCGTTTCAATGTGGCATACCCAAATGCATCACGTGGGCTTGTATAACTAAAGTTGTAGTCGGTCAGGCTTTTTATGGTAGTGACTGAAGGTGCTTTCAGCGACTGCGCCCTTCGGGGGAGTGTGTGAGACGACCCCAGAGGGACGAGTGACACAGAGTTTGACTTGGACAGAGGTAGGTGATTGGACTGGGGTGTGAGGGAGACATTGGTTTTCACTGTCCGTGCACTGACGATTGTATTCAGGCTGCCACAGTCTGTGTCAGCATTGGCAGGGTCCAGGCGGACTGTTTCACCAGATGGACTTGAACTGACAGAACTCATAGAGCTAATGCCACTTGTTGTTGTATCAGTGTTAAAGCTCTGGCTGCGGCTTTTGAACTGTGTGCCAGTCGTGCTGTCACCCATAGACCGATCCTTTATGATCTGTTCTTGGTGATTATCCCGCAACATAGTCTTTGGACGCTTTAGTTCAGACTCAGAGATGCTCTGTGAGCTTCCTCTATTGCTATGATCCCTACTCCCAACAAAGGAGGTCTCCAAACTCAATGTATGGCTCTTGTGCAATCGGTTACCATTGAAGATGCTGGTAAACACCTCAGTGTGCAAATACTCAGTGCTGTTGGCTGGTTCAGTGACAGCACGAATGCGCCGCTGAACCTGCTTCGTATCTGCTGCTGTCTTGCTAGATTTGGAATCGCTGCTACTGCGCAGTTTCTTGCTAGGTAGTGAAGTCAGATTATTGAAGAAGCGCCGAGGGACAAATCTAGAAGAGCTGAGGATGCTCAAGGGGCTTCGTTCCTTCTCTTTAGCTGATTTGGGCTTCTCCAAAAACTGATCACCCTCCTCAGTGATATCTAGGAAAAAAGTGCTGGTTGTGCTGCTGCCATAGCGATCATCTTCCATAATAAACATGCCTGTAACACAAAGAAGCCCACAGCATATCCATGAAGTTATATACATGATGTAAAGAGTTCTATGGAATCTCGCCCAATTGAGATATTAAAGCTGAAACAGAACAATTTGCAGTTGCTTGGAACTGATTGTTGCAGCCACCTCAAGACCGAGGCTTTTAACATTTTGGAGCTTGGCTTCAATCTACCTTTGTCAGACCTTACTGCGGAAAGCATCGCCTCTCTCAGTTGTACAGGGCCTCGGTGAGACCACATCTGGAATACTGTGTGCAGTTTTGGTCTCCTTTTCTGAGGAAGGATGTTGTTGCTCTCGAGGGAGTCCAACAAAGGTTTACCAGGCTGATTCCAGGGATGGTGGGTCTGACGTATGAGGAGAGATTGACTAGAGTAGGACTGTTTTCGCTAGAGTTCAGATGATTGAGGGGTGATCTCATAGAGACTTATAAAATTCTAACAGAACCGGACAGGGTAGATGCAGAGATGATGTTCCCGATGGTGGATGTGTCCAGAACCAGGGATCACAGCATCAGAATTCGGGGTAGACCATTTAGGACAGAGATTAGGAGATATTTCTTCACCCAGAGAGTGGTGAGACTTTGGAATTCATTACCACAGGAAGTAGTTGATGTCAAAACATTGTACGTATTCAAAAGGTAACTAGATTAGTTCTTAGAGTTGATAATAGGTCGGCACTACATCGTGGGCTGAAGGGCCCTGTATTGTGCTGGCCTGTTCTATGTTCTATATAGCATTTGGGGTGAATAGGATCAAAGGTTATGGGGGGAAAGCAGGATTAAGCTACTGAATTGGACGATCAGCCATTATCATGAAGAATGGTGGAGCAGGCTCGAAGGGCTGAATGGCCTCCTCCTGCCCCTATCTTCTATGTTTCTATGTTACCATTTGCAATGGCATTGAATTGATAAATTACAAGTGTCACACCCATGGTGCAAAATAGATTATCTTATTAACGGAGAACAGAAGGTTGGCTGGTGACAGAAAAGAGGCTCTTATGCTAAAGCATTTTAGGAGCCAACCTGAGGGAGCACTGTAACCTATTGTATGGGGCCAGTGTAGAGGGAGCACTACTCTGTTTCTAACCCTGAGCTATACCTGCCTTGGGAATGTTTGATGCAGTAGAATAAAGTGAGCTATACATTCTAACTCCATGCAGTCCCTGTCCTGGGAATGTTTGATGCTGACTACAGATCTCAGGAATGGATGGACAGTCCATTTCCTATTGCCCACATCTCTTACCATGATGCAGACAAAGCAAATCAGAAAAAGTTACATAATTTAGAAACAGCAAAATTACAGTATTAAAACATTACAGAATAGAATCAGGTCGTGTATGTCCGTCAGCCATTTGACCTCACTGTTCCAAGGCAGGCAGCATCGACAGAATGGTCTTACTGTATTCAAAGAGAAATTCCAGGAGCTTCTTTTATGTTAAGATGTGGTAAAATAATTGGGCTAGTAATCCTGGGGCCAGGCTAATACTGTGAGGACACAGAGTCAAATCTCGCAATGCAGCTGGGTAATTTAAAATCAATTAACAAACCTGGAACTGAAACTAGTCTCGGAGATAACGACCATGAAACTATTGCTAATAGTTGTAAAAACCCATCTAGTACACTAATGTCCTCTAAGGAAGAAAATGTGTCATCCTTGTCTGTCTGACCTACATATGACTCTGGACACTCAGTAATATGTACCACTCTTAATTGTTTTCTCTGACATGAATGAGCAAGCCACTCACTTCAAGGGCCATTTCAGGATGGACAACAAATGCCAGCATACCCACACTGCATGGAAGAATTAAAATGCTGCTTCTCCTTTGCATCTTCTGATCTGTTTGGCACAGGAGCCAGCTCTATTTCTAATGATTAGTATGAACTTGCCAAATTATGTCTCTATTTTATAATGTGATTGGTCATGTGGATTTTAAGTTCAAGTTCAATTGCTTAGTTGCTTATAATTGCTTGAATGTAGGATTGCCAAGCATCTATCCCTCAGCAGAGATCAACACTCTCAGAAGAGGGGAACACAAATGTTGTACGATTGGGAAATAAGTAACCAGTCAGCAAACACTGCACATTTCACTCAAAGATAAGATAACCTCATTATGCTGATAGCGCTTAGGCAAGTCCACTTTATGCAATACTTACTCTGAGGCACTGACTCACTCTCGCTATTATGCCTGGAACTAGTAGATTCAGAATTGAGACTCAGTGTACTGGGGACTGAGGACAGCTCACTGTATAGTTGCTCCATGTCATCAGGGGCCACAGGCCAGGGCTGCAAGCGACTGTGCCTGACTGAATCCCAACCATGGTTTTTCAGGATATCACATCCCTGCTTTGTTTTTGCCAAGAGACCCAGTGCGTACAGACAGGTCCTGTGGGAACAGAAAAAGGAATACAGGTCAGTGGAAACAAAGGGCCATGCTTAAATCCATTTTTGAAGGCACAAACCTGGACGTCAAATGGCCATTTTATTGGGTTTTTTTTTACTGGAGAATAAAATTCAGAATGGTTATCAGACCTGCTACCGGAGAAAAGAATTCAGAAGGACATCCACTGATCATCCATTTCTATCCATTACTTCACTGATTGTTAAAGTATGTTGCTAGGATAATCAGCAATGACATGGCTTTCATAAAACCATGCTGACCTCAGCTTACATTTTTCAAGCATTTATACCTACTGCAGTAATTACACCAACAACACAAAGTCAATGATCTATCACTGTCTTTTATTTTGAGCAAATCAATCCTGTGGCTGTGCTCCATCAAAGTTATGCAATACCCAGTGGTTGGGATCAGTATAAACATGCTGCACATTGCTATACAGCAACTGCAATGGTGGCACCAATAACAAATATCAAGTATCAAAGCATTAAAGCATAAACAGAACTGATAAAAGCAGTAGCTTTTTCTAACAGAAACATTTGCTGCTCTGTTTGAATGGTGCTACTGCCAAGATTTTGGTGTAGACATACCTCCAGTGCTGTTAGGGAGGGAGTTCCAGGATCCTGAACTAGTTACAGTGAAAGAACAGCGAGATAGTGTGGCACTACGTAAACTTGTAGTTGGTGGTGCTACATGCATCTTGTCTTGGTGTTGCAGGTTTGGAAGGTGCTATCAAAGAAGCCTTTGTGAGTAACTCAGATCCTCTTGTGGATGGTGGTGGGAGTAAATGTTGAAGGTGGTGGATGGGGTGCCAACCAAGTGAGCTGCTTTGTCCTGATGGTATCAAACTTCTTGAGTGTTGTTGGAGCTGCACCCATCTAGGAAAATGGGGAGTATTCCATCATACTCCTGACTTCTGCCTTGATGATGATGAATAGGGTCTAAAGAGTCAGGAGATGAACTACCTGCAAGCATTCCTAGATTCTGACCTGCTCTTGTAACCGCAGCATTTATTCAGTCCTGGAACTTGTGTGGTGTGAACTTGCCACTATCAGACCAAACCTGAATGTTATCCAGGTCTTGTTGTAGGTGTACACAGACAAAAGAGGGATCCTGATACCTGGAAGTGAGCTAAAACCTGTAAGCCCTTTGAAGTATTCAGATGGTTTATTGAAAAGACAACAAATACCTGGGACTCATCATCAGGGCAAGTTATTAACCTTAAAGATTGGCAAAATGTCAGAAAGCAATAGGTACAGTTTGTATATTCAATGAATACAGAAAACCTCAATAATCTACAGTGAGTTCAGATGAGAGAAAGGTCTGTTGCTGAGGTACTGAGGCACTAAGAGAGGCTATCACACTATCATGCTCATTTAGATCCACATCCGCGAGATTCACTACATACCCTCTAACGGAGAGAATTTCACAAGCATGGGCCAGGGCTACAATATCCGGGATCACGTTCTCCTCCTGAAGCAAGTTCAATCCCCAGTTTGACGAGCCAATGTTACCCTGAAACACACATCACATTTGGGTTGGAAACCTCATACTAACCATTGTCTAGCATCATTTATGCAGAAAGAATCAAAAAATGAGCAAGAACCAGAAAAGAAACATGCAACTGAAAGCACTGTTAAACAGACGGGTTTGGAGCAGGTTTTGAAGCTAGCAGTAATATAGAGCTCTGTTACGCTTCCATGCTGCTGTTTGACAGCCAGGTCAGGGGGTGCTACTGCAGCTTTTTTTGCTTGCCCCTAGCTGGTCTGTTTTTAAAAAAAGGTGAGATTTTACCGTCATTGCCTGTGCCAAAACTTATTGCTCATCCCCTATTGCACAGACAGCAGTTAAGAGTTACCCACACTGCTGTGGGTCTGGATTCACATCTAGGCCAGGCCAGATCACATCAGATCAGGATGGCAGACTTCTCTCCCTAAAGGACATCAATGAACCAGATGAATGTTTACGACAACTGGCAGTGATTAGATGGTTGCCAGGAGGATGGCTTTTTATTTCAGATTTTTACTGAATTTGAATTTCCCCATCTGCCATAGTGTCACAACAGCAGAGAACCCCTGCCCCTAGAGTATTGGTATGGTGTTCTAGATTACTAGTTCAGTGACATTACCACTACGCCACCAACACTTCCTGCTTTTTTTCCCATGATAGGGGCATTCCAGACCAACTGAGCTGCATGGCAGCTTTTTACAAGCTAGGTTGGAGCCTGGTAGGCTGTAAATCTTCTTTGGAGGTCATTGCACCAATCATAGAGTCATAGAGATGTACAGCATGGAAACGGATCCTTTGGTCCAACTCGTCCATGCCGACCAGATATCCTAGATAAATCTAGTCCCATTTGCTAGCATTTGGTCCATATCCCACTAAACTCGTCCTATTTATATACCATCCAGATGCCTTTTAAATGTTGTAATCAACCAGGCTCTACCACTTCCTCTGGCAGCTCATTCCACACACGTGCCACCCTCTGCGTGAAAAAGCTACCCCTTAGGTCCCTTTAAAATTTTTCCGCTCTCACCTTAAACCTATGTCCTGCAGCTTTTGACCTCTCTCTCCCCCCTCCCTCCCCCCAACCATTCCAGGGAAAAGACCTTGCCTATTTAACCTATCCATGCCCCTCATAATTTTATAAACCTCTATAAAGGTCAAGATCCCCTCTCATGGTCATAACACTTTCTCTGGCTCTTGAGCCCATTCCTCACTCCCTTCACTGGGCTTTGCCTGGCACCAATACACCAGATTTTTCTTCAGTCAGGCCTCAATTATCTCTTCACCAGGGAAGACTGGCTGCAGTCCCAGTAATGGACACACAGATCGTTGCTGGAAGCACAGCTGGGCTGACAGTTCTTTAAGGTAGGATCTCCTACCAGTTGGGGCAACAACACTCACCCTGAGACAATTAGTGCCCTACCAAGCGTAAAATGGCTGAGTCGCAACTGGCTTTTCTGTGCACGAATTCCAAACGGACTTCAATCTGGGATGAGAGTGGAGAATGAAGTGCATCATTCAGTCCATAGAAATATGGTTCCACAGAACTGAACTGGAATGAATGCTAGATTGACAAGAAATTAAGATTTATGAAATAGGAGTAGCCACTTGGTTTGCTCTGCCCATCAATAAATTTATGGCTAATCTAATTGTGGCCTCAATTCCACTTGCACACTTCCCCTCGTCATAACTCTCAATTCCATCACAAATTAAAAATCTGGCTAACTTGGCCTTCCATGAATAGATTCAAATGAGGCACTCTCCACTGCTTACTAGGCTAGAAAATTCCAAAGATTTATCATCCTTATCGAATAATTTCCTCCTTCCATATTGCAGAAAGAATGAGGGTCGGTAAAAATCAGGAATTAGAGCAGCTGAGTACGCAGGGGCTGGAATTTACAGTTAAATGTCATCATCATGGCAAGATGCTGCAAAAGGATTTGACAAGCGAAGATGTCATTGTCAATACAGTGGATAGGAACTTAGCTGAGTTGGAGGGACATAGCAATATAGAAGCAGCAGTAGGCCATTCAACCCTTTGAGACAGATCCACCATTCAATATAATGATGGCTGATCATCCAACATAGTACAATGTTCCGGTTTTCTCCCTATATTCTTTGATAACTTTAGTGTTGAGAACTCTATCCACATCACTTGAAAGTGTGGCCTCAACATTTTCCTGTGGCAGAGAATTCCAGAGAGTCACCAATCTCCACATGGAAAAATTTCTCATCTGTCCTAAAAGGCCTACCCTTTTTACCCTTAGACTGTGACTACTAGTTCTGGTCATCAAGAACATCCTTCCTGCATCTACCTTGTCTAATTCTGTTAGAATTAGGTATGTTTCTATGAGATCCCCTCTCTTTGTTATAAACTCTAATGAATATAGTCCTAACCAATCCTCTGTTTGTCAGTCCCACCATCCCGGGATTCAGTCATAGCTGGGTTCCAAGAAGTACCCACTCGTCATTGCCCACCACTCAGGAAAAGAGTTTATTCCTGCTCTTGGTTTCCTGTCTGCCAGTCAGTTCTCAATCCATTCAGCACACAAACCTCCAAAGCCATGCACTTTGATTTTCCATGCTAATCTCTTATGTGGGACCTTATCAAAAGCCTTCCGAAAGTCCAAGTAAACCATATCCACTGTCTCTCCTTTATCCACTCTACTAGTTACATCCTCAAAAAATTCCAGCAGATGTGGCAGACACAATATGCCCTTCATAAATCCATGCTGATTCTGATGATGTCACTCTCTTCCAAGTGCTCTGCTATTACATCTTTTATAATGGACTAGAGCATTTTTCCCCCACTACGAAGGAGGATGATGTGCTGGATGCAGAGGTTGGTGGGGTGGTATGAGAGGACCGAGGGCCTCTGACCTTATTTTTGTTGGAGGAAGGGGGATTGAGGGCAGAAGTGCGGGAAATGTAAGAGATGCGGTTGATAGCATTATGAATCACCAGGAGGGGAGTTATGATCCTTGAAGGAGGAGGATATCTGGGATATCTGGGATGTCTGGGAGTGGAATGCTCCATCTGGGGAGTAGGTGCGGCGGAAGCGGAGAAATTGGGAATATGGGATCACATTCTTGCAGGAGGGTCGGTGAGAGGAGATGTAGTCAAAGTAGCTATGGGAGTTGTGGGTTTGAAACAGATGTTGATGCTGATGCTGAGACAGTTACCAGAGATGGAGACAGAGGGGTCCAGGTGAATTTGAGGTTGGGGTGAAAGGTGTTAGTAAAGTTGATGAATTGTTCAAGCTCTTCATGGGAGCACGAGGCAGTGCTGAGTCATCAATGTAGCAGAGGAAGAGGTGAGGGATGGTCCCAGTGTAACAGCAGAAGCAGGACTGTTCCACATACCCTACGTAAAGGCAGGCATAGCTCAGACGCATACAGGTGTCCATTGCCACCCCTTTAGTTTGTAGGAAGTGGGAGGGGTTAAAAGAGAAGTTGTTGAGGGTAAGGACAAGTTCCATTAAGCGGATGAGAGTGTCGGTGGAGGGGCTCTGGTTGGCCTGTGGGAGAGGAAGCAAAAGTGGGCTTTGAGGCCCTCCTCATGGGAGATACTGGTGTAGAGAAACTGGATGTCCATGGTGAAGATGAGGTGTTGGGGGCTGAGGAATTGAAAGTCTTGGAGGAGATGGAGGACATGGGTAGTGTACCAAACGTAGGTGGGTGTTGAAGATCTTGAAAAGGAAAGAGACCTTTAATTTGGGAAACTGAGAATTATTGAATTAATCTGCCAAGAAAATTAACAAGTCAATGATCCTGTGATTGAGCGAAGTGTAGAGATTTTGCATGCAACAGACATAATTTTTCATTCTACATTAGCCTGGCTTCTTGGTGCATGTGCCTGAAGACTTTCATAATCGGTTGACCACGTGTAGGAATTTACCGAGTTATCTTCTAGCCTGCTAGCTATTTTCTCCAATAAAAACTGATTGCATTTTTAAGTTTGATGGTTATTGTAATTGAAGAAAATTATCTGGATTAAATGAAATTGTCCACGCAGAAAATTTTGCTGTCCAGTGCATACTTTTAAGGCGAGAGGAGCAACTTTTCCACAGAGGGTGGTTATGTGGAATGAACTGCCGGAGGAAGTGGTAGATGCAGGTAGAATTAAAATATTTAAAAGACATTTGGACAGGTACTTGAATAGAAAGATTTAGAGGGATATGAGCCAAATGAGGAAAAGTGGGAATAGTTTAGTTTGGGAAACTTGGTCAGCATGGACAAGTTGGACTGAAGGGGCTGTTTCTGTGCTGTATGACTCTACATACCTACAGAAGCTTGTATTATCAGTTTGAATAGTCCCTGCAAAATTACTCTCTTTCTATATAAAAACCAAAACAAAGTTGCTGGAAAAGCTCAGCAGGTCTGGCAGCATCTGTGGAGGAGAAAGCAG